ATCCAGATACATTTCATCAGAAGACACCAACATCCAAATCCAAAGAAATACCAGTCAAAACAATCCATTTCAAACACAGTTCGCACATTCTGATCAACCCAGAACAGCAACAGTAAAATCGACATATCTCACTCTACACTAATCTAAATGACCTGAAATTTTACAGGCACCTCAAACAAATTAATACCTACAACTTTTATGTTTTAAGTAATGACCAATTCGGCCTCTAAACACATGATCCAAAACCGGACAGAAAAGGGGGTTATGAAACCCTAACTTTTCCCATTTCAAACCAAACCCAAAATTGGTTGCATTTATCAATAATTCACACCTACTAGAGTCATAACCCCTCATTATCAACCATCATAAACAACCACAACACCATGATCACATTAAACCAGAAAATTCCTCACAAAAATAAAAACTTCACCAATTCATCACAAACCAAGAAATAAATCACATAATCCATCACTTTAGCTCCCATTAAGCACAAATTAAACATCATTAAGTATAGGAGGAAGTTTAAGCATCACTTACCTAGTAAACAAGAGAGGGGAAGTTGTAGGACACCTTAGCTCTCCAAGAAAACTTCACCAAATCACTCACTAGCACCAAAGAGAAGGTTTTTATGGAGTGGAAACTAACTTAAGCAATTGTTTTAGTTGATTTGCGCTAAGTAGTAGCTAAACTTTGAAGAGTTTTTTCTTTCTTCTTGCTAGAGAGGGCCGGCCATAAGGAGGTAAGAAAGAATGAATTTTGTGGTAATTTTTAAGATATTTAACTAATTGGGTCAAAAGTCAAAAACATGAATAGTGTTCCATAAGTCAAATCCAATAAAAGGTTGACACTTGTCACTCCTTAAATGCAATCTTATCTTTTCTTTTCCTCTCACATCAATCACTTCACATCCTCTACTTATCTCTTAACACCCGATAAATTTTACACAGTATCCAGAATTTAACCTAATTGGCCGAATTTTTCCGAATTTTTTCGCACTAGTGGGTCCCACATCTGATATACGTTCTTATTTTCTCAAAACCTAACCGATACTTGAAAACTCATCTAAAACCTATATTTACTCAGAAAAAAAATTATCTGGGAAATTTCCAATAAAGAAAAAATGTAGAAAAGGCGGGCGATAAAAACCCGAAACCACCCCACCGATTAACGAATAACCCTCATATCAGCTTACGAACGGACTGGGGCCTCACAAAAATTCCTCACGATTTCTGGTTATAATAATCTGTCTTTTAATCTTACAAGAGATGCCTTTTTATAGGCTAAAACTAGGGCAAAATCCGGCCCACATAAACCTGGAAGAAATTCGGTCCGCACAAAGAGTTTAAAGAGCCAGCTCTTTAAGGCTTTCCGATAAGGCCCAATAAAATACTAAACGCCTAACAACTACTAAACTAGACAGTCAAGTATGAGATCATTCCTTCGCTTCAAACGTACAAGTGAACAAAGTAACTTCATGGTCCATCGAATCTTCAAACCTAGCTTGCTCCTTGCTTGTATGGTGAATGATCAAGGCTCGTAAAGCTTCCTTCACCTTCTTGGTTCTTGATCTTGTCATCGGACCACCAATGTTGATCAAAGGGTCCTTGACCCAAGGTTGGAGTTGTTGTGCGCCCGTATCCTTATCACATGGTTTGTCAATTTTTCTCGACCAAGCCCTTGCTGGTTCGATTCCATTGACTCCCCATGGGGTTGAGCTCAGTTTTAACAGGAAGGTCGTTGGATATACATCCAAACAACATCATGTCAGGCACAGTAACAAGTTCAAGCGTATAACGGGCACGAGTAACAGGTTCAAGCATATACAGTGACTCGACAAGTAAGCAAGAGAGACGAGTGTGATGAAGTACACCCTCGTCTCGTCTAGAATTAAGCAGGTCTTATAGTCATTCAAGTCACACATTGCAGGTACAAGTAAAACAGTTAAGCAACAAGTCATGTGAGTGGTACACTTACCAATTCAAACAAGAATAACTTCAAAAGTTTCCTTCCAAAGGATGCCTTTGATCACCGGCAAGTCCTAGAACAACCAAGGAAAACCATTGAGACTCGAGTATGAGTCGTATGCCTATAGTACCTAACTGGGTGCTAAAGGTAACAAGATACAAATTTGCCTTTCAAACGAGAGTTTTTGTAGCCATGACACAAGTGAAATCATGAAGTTGTTCACCTCCTAATCGAAATAGTTTTCACTCAAATTCAAGTACAAAGGTTTAACCAAGCATCTTAAGAAAGTTCATCACCAAATCGATCCAAACTTGAAGGAATCAAGTAGCCCTAAAATTTTGGACAGCATGCCCTTTGTGTTTACCTATTTTTCAGCCATTTATGGCTTCATTATTTTTCTCAATTCAGCCCCAAAATCATACACAAATAATCTATCCACAATAGGCTCAAAGTCATTCAATTACAAAACAATGCTAGAAAATGGACCGAAACTAATGTTTACGACAATTAACAAAATCACAGGTTTGATGTCTCTTAGCATTTTGGTCACCATCGAAGCTACACTTATCGGATTGGGGTGTACCTTATACCATTTCAAAACTAAGACAAAGAGTTACAATTTTCATGAAGAAAAATCAACCTAGTTCACATTTTACCTAGGTCGAATTTGCAAATTACAGAACCAGAAGTTCATGGTCAGTCTGGTTGTCAGTACTGAATTCAAATGGCAATAACTCAAGCTACACAATTCCGTTTGAGGCGTTTTCAGATGTGTTAGAAAGATGAAACATAGGGCTCAAAGTTTTGTGTTTTGACCAAAGGCTGATTTGATACGGATCAAGGTGAAATCCGATGCCAAACTTGTGAAATCTCAAAACTGTCCATGAAATGAGGTTTTAGCAGTCAGGGGTATTTCGATCATTTCATTTGATACAGTGCTCCAATCGAGCTGAAATTTTACAAGAAGCTATATAACATTATTTCCTACAACTTTTATGTTTTAATCTAAGTCTAATTCGGCCTCTAACATGGATGAATTAAACAGGTCAGAAGCAGGACAGTGTCAATCTTAAAGCTGAAAATTTGATGAATTCAAGGTTTATATTCTCATTCATGTCTTAAACTACCATCCCAACTCCCTATCCAACCTTAGAAACATCATATGCTATCTAATCAATAAGAAATACAACTGAACAATACAAATCCTAACTCAAAAATCCACCATAATCATCAAAACAACTTAAATAACTATCATTAGCTAAGAATATGAGTTGCTATACAAACTTAAACAAGCTTAAGGGAAAGCAAATGGAAAAACCAGCCTTAATACCTTGCCAAAGATGCTTTCAAGAGAAACCTCAACCTTTCCTTCCAAACTTTTAGTACACCAAGCTTCCCAAGTGCCCAACTAAGAGATTAATCGGTTTAGATTCTTGAATTTCACTCAAAATAAGCTAAGCCCCAAGATGAAAATGAAGTTTTCTTCTCTTGTTTTTTTTCCATCAAGGTTTGGCCACCACGGATGCAAAATGAAGAAAGAATGAAGCTCAAGAAAGGTTAAGAAACTTGGTCTTAGTTTGGGTCAAAGATGGTTGAATGTCTTCCACTTGTCACCACAAGATTTCATCTTGAATTTTTTCTTTTCCTTTCTTTTTTTTAGTCAAGAATTTCGGCTCTCTCACTAGGATAATTAGGGCTGATATTTTTGCACTAATGACAATGAGATTAAGGTAATAAAGTGGTGGTCAAGTGGTGTGTTCAATCGATAGTGAACAGTGCACGTCGGTTCACACCGTTTTTCCCTAACTCGCACATACTAGGGTTTTTATTTATAATTCACTAACTTATTATTAGTACTTATAATCACACATTTAATATCATATAAAACTCACTCTTAATCAGTAAATTTAGTACACACTCCGCACCAAATAATCACACTTCCGAAAGACGTACAAAACCCTAGTTTACCCGAACGATGAAAGTAAAGGGAAAACTCTTAATTCTATTCTTTATTCTAACCACTGGGGAGGTAAATGAGTAGTATAGCTATGATAAAGTAATTTAATCAAAATAAAAGGGTATTTGAAGAAAATATGAGCGAATTTTCCAGTCGTCACACTCTTTCCTCTTACATAAAAATCCGGGGTGTCACAGATGGCGCCGTGGGTGGAGTGGCGCGTCGAGGAGTAAAGCCGAACTGGTGGAGTGGAGTCGGCGGTAGAGGAGGTTCGGAGTGAACGGCCACAGCCGCGAGACGGCAATGGCATGCTGAGCGATGGGCGCGAGAGAGAACGAGAGGGCGCGGCACTGTGGGCAAAGTCGCGACGGTCGGCTGCGGCGATCTGGACCAGGCGCGGCGGGTTACAGTGGTGACCAGCGATGTCGTGCGGCGTGGCGTGCGTGGGAGATAAGTAGCGGCGGTTGGAGATTTAGTCAAAGGTTGGGATAGACCAGGGAAAACAACAGCGAAAAAGGAAAACTGAAAGAAAAGGGTAAGCAAAGTGGAAAAGTCGAGAAAAAGTAAAAGGACGTAGGGACCATTGGTTGTGCATGGGTAGTATGGCGTGGGCACACCTTAAAAGCAAGAGTCTTCTACCCAACGCCATGAAACATGACTAACGCTATCTGCTGTGTGGCGTGGGCACGCCTTGTAGCCGAAAGTCAAGTGGGCACCGATTGCTTAGAACCCATCATCTGGCGCCTCCCTTCAGAGCGTGAGCACGCCTTGAAAGTGTAAGTCTTCTGTTCACCAACTTGTACAACTGTCTGCTTATGGTAGTACAAGTCGCGGGCACGCCTTGTAATATAAGGTCTTTTACCCACGAATTCGTGCTCCCAACCTACAAGAAAATGCTGCCGAACACATCTCAGACCTACTAAAAATCGTTCAGCAATAGAAATCCCAACAACTTGATTTAAAACACATAAACAAGAAATAAAAACACAAGAAATGACTAAAAGATGAAACTCTTGGGTTGCCTCCCAAGCAGTGCCTCTATTTAACGTCTGTGGCCAGACGAAGAGGAAGTTAATATTTAATTCGAATTGTGGTCGAGCAGATGGACCTCCTCCATAGTGCCAATGTCTGAAATATCGATGAGCGGCTTGAGACGATGACCATTAACCTTAAAACTCTTGTCAGTCTCTAAACTTCGGATTTCAACGACACTGTTGGAAAAAATGTTGACAATAGCATATGGCCCCATCCATCGAGACCGCAACTTACCCGGCATGAATTTCAACCTGGAGTTAAACAGAAGTACCTTTTGCCCCACAGAGAAATGCTTGGTGCGCACTAGTCGATCATGGAATGACTTGGTGCGCTCTTTATACAATCGAGCATTGTCGTAAGCTTCTAAGCGGATCTCTTCCAACTCTTGAAGTTGGAGCTTTCTTTCCTTTCCATCTCTATCCGTGTTCAAATTGCACTGCTTAACTGCCCAAAACGCACGATGCTCAATTGCCACAGATAAATGACACATCTTACCAAAAACCAACCTATACGGAGACATTCCGATTGGTGTTTTATACGTCATGCGATATGCCCAGAGTGCATCATCCAATTGGGTACTCCAATCCTTACGACTCGGGTTGACCGTTTTCTCCAAGATACTCTTGATCTCGTAGTTAGAGACCTCAGCTTGCCCGTTAGTTTGCGGGTTGTAGGTCGTACTAACTCAATGGTGAACTCTATACTTACGCATCAGTGCTTCAGTGGTGCGGTTGCAGAAATGAGTTCCCTGGTCACTGATGATTGCTCTTGGCACACCAAACCTACTATAAATATGGGACTTAAGAAATCCTGCAACAACTCGTGAATCATTAGTCCGGGTAGCCTTGGCTTCTACCCATTTTGACACAGTCTACAGCTAACATAATATAAAGAAAGCCAAAAAAACTAGGAAACTGTGATACCCCGACTTTTAGAATATTACGATTTCTATATTTATTTTTTGTTTGAAGACATTGTTTTGTTTTAAAAATTAGAAACCCTACTTGTAATAAAAAACCCTAGTCTACTTGTGACTAACCGATTTTCTTAAATCTCTTATATTTTAATCGAAACCCTAATTGTAACCAATGGAATTGTAAAATCCCTCACATTTTTCTCAAAATTCCTTTTATTTGGCATTTATTCCTTTCTAATAGCTTTACTACTCATTCACACCCTCAGTAATTGCAATCAACCATAGAATCAAGGGTTTTCCCTGTAGGTTCTTAGTTCGGGTAAATTAGGGCTTTTTGCGTATTTTGACTGTGTTATCACTTGGTGAAATGTATGCACTAAATTCAGTGATTAAGGGTGAGTTTAGATGATATTAAGTGTGTGATTAGAAGTAAGAATTATAAGTTAGTGAATTATAAGTTAAAACTCTAGTATACGCGATTTAAGAAAAACCGGGTTGAACCGACGGGTACCGTTTGTTACCGAGTGAGTGCACCACTTGAACATTACTTTATTACCTTAATATCCTTGCTATTACTTGATTAAAATCAGCCCCAAAATATCCTCAAGGCAGCCAAAATATTGGACCAAAAATAAGAGAAAAAAGAACAAAATTTGACTACCAATCAAAGTGTGACACTTGTCACCTTTGACCCAAATTCATTTCTATCATTTTAACCTTCTTGAATCTTCATTTGAGCCTTCATTTTCAGCCTAGCAGCCGTGAGAGAGAGAGGGAAAAACAAGAGAAAGAGAGCTTCAATCCATCTTAGGTTTTGCTTGATTGAGTGAGAAAACAAGAAAACTAAACCGATTAAACTTACTTTGTGGTGTTTGGCAAACTTTGTGTGGAAAAATATTTAGAAGAAAGTGGTGTGTTTCTTACCTATAAGGGACCTTTGGAAGGTACCATGGCTGCCTATCCCTTTTCTCTTCTTTAATCTTGTTAAAGTTTAGTTTGAAGCTCTTAATCTTGCCTTATGACAGTTAATCGGTTAGTTTTGATTGATTTGTCGGATATGGAGCTAGGGTATACATTTTCAGTTTTGATTATAGTTATTTACCGCTTAATTGATGTTATTGAGCTAGTAGTTGATGGTTTTGATGATAGAGTACTTGTTGGATATGAATTTCTAGTGGAAAAGTTTAAATTCCAGAAATGAAACTCTTCACTGCCCTGTTCTAACCGGTTCTGTTCGACCATGATGGAGGCCGAATTAGACTTAACACAAAACATGAAACTTGTAGGGAATGATGTTTTATAGTTTCCTGTAAAATTTTAGCTCAATCTGAGCACTGTATCAAGTGAAAAGATAAAAATACCCCTGACTGCCATAGGTAGAGTTCTGTGGACAGTGTTGACATTTCAATCTGACCGCATCTATTCACCCTGATCCATACTGAACTAGCATTTGGCCAAAACACAGAAGTTGTAGTGCTATGTTTTAGCTTTCTAACACCCCTGAAACACCTCAATCGGATTTAGGTAACCTGAGTTATTGTCGTTTACGCATAGTGCGGCTAACTAGCCTGATTGTGAGATTCTGGTTCTGTAATTTGAAATTTTGACTTAGATACACTACGAACTGGACTGAGTGGTCTTCATCAAAGTTGTAGCCCTTTATCTTGCTTCGAAACGGTATAAATTGCACCCCAATCCGATAAGCGTAGCTTCGGTTGTGTCTGATACGCTAAGCGACGTCAAATTTGTCTTTAGTTTTATGACTTAAACTTCATTTCCGGACATTTTCCTAGCTTGATTTTGTACTTGTACGACATTGAGCCTATTGAACGGCTATTGAAATGAGATTATTATGTGTGTGACTTTGGGACTGATTGAGGAAACGAATGAAGCCATAAATGGCTGGAAAATAGATAAAAACAAGGGGCATGGCGCCAAATTTTCACTAGAGGTATAAACCGGTCTTTGGAGTTCTGGTTCGGTAATCTGTAAATTTGACTTGGATACACTGAAAACTAGGTTGAGATGTCTTCATGAAAGTTGTAACTCTTTGTCTAAGTTTTGAGACACTACCTAGTACATTTTGATCCGATAACCACAGCTCCAGTTATGGTCAAAACCGTGTAACCCGTTTTCATACCGTTGTCATTTCCGCGCACGCGCGCATGCATTTCCTTGTCCTTTTTGCCGCTTTGATCGTTTTAGTCCTTATTTCCATTTGTGATGGTCGATTAACTGATAGTTGAGTATCGATTCACTGATATTTGAGTATAATCTTTTGTCACAGGCAGTGACGAACCGGACGGAGTCGGTGGACCCGTACAAAGTGCCTTGATTTGCGTGCTCACTATTTTGAGTGAGTAATTGGGTTGTTTACTGATGTGAAATTATCAAAGTGTTTTGTATATGTTAAATGGATACTTAGACGAGGGTTTACTTTATCTCACTCGATCTAATCCCATCCTTTGTTTTGATTTCATATGTGGGAATACATGCCTTAAGTTGAGTATCACCCTTTTGCTGTGTGCTGATTGGGGTGATTACATGACTTAAATTGAACCCTTTTTGGATGTGTGCTGTTGGGGTAAGTACTTTGTTGTGTACTTTGTTGAGAGATATCATCTATTGAGAGATTAGATATCTCAGGACTTGGTTCGAACCCGGTTCCAAGGGTAGACGGACTATTCGAGTCAGCCGGGGCTTGGTTGAAATTAATTCCATGCTAACCTTGGGATTTCGTTCTTTGTTAAAACTTTGATTAAAGTTAAGTGATTTTGTTTCGCTCGAGCTGCTGTGTGCTGTTGACTGGCCAGCGGAGGTTGATAAGGTGAACGGGAAAAGTAAGTGGAGTCTACGGACTATAAGTACTTTGGTTGACGGAGTGTCAACATGTGACGCCCCCACTTCTGCCAAGGGCAAAACCAAGGGTATCCGCTGAACGCCTGCCTAACTCTCGCCAGGACTCGAGACAAATCAATTCAAATTTAACAATATATAACCATTTATACCAGTCTAATAAGGAAAAAAATCGCTTGCATAATCGAATATCCAAGTCTTGCACCACGAGTTCAAAATTTATCCGTTATCCAATTCTTACATCAGGATCCAAAAGATACATCAATTCCTAAATATATACAATAGCCAAAATGTCTAGTCAATTACAATTGAAACCCTAATACAAAAGTACATCCAAAGGGTTCCATCGAGTTTCACTCCATCCATTCCTGTTAAGGAAAACAAATCTACGGGGTGAGCCAATAGCTCGTGAGGCCAAGAAAACACACATGCAAGCACGTTGTCCACGTAACAATCCCAATATAACAAGTAGAGCAATGCAATTTCAATATATAACAATTCGAGCAAGAAAATTAAACAGAAACGATTCAAGGATATAGGAGCTCTCAGGAGCTATTTTCCACTTGCTTCGCCATGGCTCGATCCGATACCCCCTTCGTGATGACATTCCGTCATCCGGGTGGGTATTATATCCGTAGAAACTTCACTTATTACTTCCTCCGACCAACATTCCACCCTCTCGGATCCGTAACCAAACACGCACGAAAAAGGCAATACTCGTCGAGTATGCCTCACAAGATCTCAAGAGATCAAGTTTTGATTTTTGAACACGCACGAAAAGGGCGATACTCCACGAGTATGCCGAACAAGATCTCAAAAGATCAAGTTGTGTTTTGTTATTCTCTTGGTTTATCAAGCTTCTCGACCAAGCCCATGCTGACTCGAGTTGCAAGATTGGCTAAGAGAATTGGGCGTCCCTATAAGTCAAGGAGATTCACTCCACCCGACAACACGACACGCACGGCATACACGACACGCACGGCAACACGACATGCACACGAAAATGGATATATTTTAGTCGACGAGATTCACTCAAATCGACTTTGAAAACCAAGTTAATGCAAGTAAAGTTCGAGTAAAGGAGAGCGAGTGCGATAAAGTACACACTCGTCTCATCAAGTGATATTCACGTATATAAGCAGGAAAATCAAGTAAACACGACAAGTCATGCACTTGACACTCACCAAATAAAACGAGAAGAAAAGGGCACTCGAAATTTAAGCATCCACCGTGGAATCCTCTTGAGGGTCCTCGTATGCGCCTGAGCAAATAATAGTGAAGCATCACTCATATATCCCAATTATCAAGGAAGATTGTACACTAGTACAATCTAAGGAAATTTCATGAAAACGGACCTCAATTACTCGTAAATCGAGGTTCAATTAGAGTTTCTTAAAGTACAGGAGCATTTGGGTTTTTATCTTGGAAATCGAGGTTAAAACGTTTGCATAATGTCGAAAGAATAAAGAGTTCTTGGAAAACTCTATTTCCTTGAAAGTTGGAAAATTTCAGTTTTGATATGGATCTTTGAAAAATCGTATCTCACTCGATACAAGTCTAAAATTGGAAAACTTTCTATTGTTGGAAACCTCTTGGAAATTATTAAAAGTTCTTAGAAGACACTTTTCCATGAATCTAAGTGGGAGGTATTCAAAAATGAGCTTGAAATCACTGTTCCAGAATGTTCAGGATTGAGCTGGGGTTGGTTTTTCGCTAACTTTGGAAATTCGGAAGAATTCACTCGTTACAAACCAGCCCTTGAAATTTATAAC